GAATTCCCTGGAACAATAAATTGCTCAAAGAGATGTTTCAGAATAAAGAACAAGGAATCCAAGATTAGGCATGATATGAGACACAAGAATCAGTGGCAATAGGACACTGAATAAATGTAGAAAGTTTCATATCTTTGGAATTTTTTATCTGGTCAACAGATTCTGTTAGAACAATACTTAAAATATTATTTTGAAGAAAAAATTAATAGCACAAGAATTCATTTTCTTATATGTATATCAAATTGTTCTATTAGAGTGAATAATATTTATATAATCATAACATTATAAATGATGTGTTGGGGTTTTCTGTTTTTAGAATCTACCTATCAAGAAAGAATAGGGAAAAGTAGAAAGAAAGAGAAATATGCTAATTTCCTTATGTTTCAGAACAGAAGTCAATAAAGACTGTCTAAATTTGTTAAATCAAGAAACAGATTTATGAAAGGTCAGGTTAAACCACCACAAAAACCCCAAAACTAAAAATATAATTATCAAAAATCATGTAATAAGGAGTATAAGATATAATATGAAGAGACCAAATTTTTCATACTTAATGATGAGGAGTCAATAGATATGATTAAAGTTGATCAATCTAGGAGTAGGTATAATATCAAATTAATGATAATTCACTAGAAGAACCAAATTCAGAAATTCTCAATAGTTGCCTCTGGGCACTGGGAAGAGGAATTATGAATGGGAGAGTTGGGAGTGAGACCATTTTAATTTACACATTTTTATACTATTTGGTATTTCTTTAACATATCTCATTCCATAGTATTTTTAAATGAATACCTGTGATAGGAGAGTAAGTCTAAAATGATATGAATAATATTAATAGCTTATATTAGTGAATTATTTAGTCATAAAAATATATTCACATGAACCATCTTATATATGCCTAATAATTCTTAAGAAAGTAAGACTCTGTCACGAGTCCCAGCATGTGGGGGTTTTCCTCACATCACCAAGCAATTGTCTAACACCAGTGAATTGTGCTAAAATTCACCTCAATTTTGACACTATCTACACAGTGGTAACATCAGATCCCTCAGTTTAAGGGTTCAGTCCTACGAGACTGCCTCTCCCTAACCCAACTTCAACAGCCAATTACATACCTAAGGTATCACTTCTGTTTCTGCCCATCCAAATATAGACTGGAGGTTCCAATCCTCCTTGGATTCAATTAATTTACTAGAGTGGCTCACAGAAATTGGGAAACCAGTTTATTCACCAGATTACCAGTTTACTACAAAGAATATCAAAGGATATGAATCAGCAGCCAGATGGAGAGATACATAGGGTGAGGTCCAGAACATGGGAGTTTCTGTCCTCACCCAAGTTTGGGGACCAGCATGTTGGCACCAGTGTGCCACCTGTGAGTGGTTCACCAACTTGGAAGTTCTCTGAACTCCCTTCTTTTGGGTTCTTTTTAAAGGTTTCATTGCAAAGGAATGCTTAAATCATTGACTTTTGGTGGTTGATTCAACATCCAGTCCCTCTTCCCTTCCCAGAAATCAGGAAATGGGACTGAAAGCTCCAACCTTCATTCCCTTGGTTCCCTTGGCAACAAGCTCCCACCCTTAGGTGCTTTCCTAGTCACTCATTAACATAAGAAAAGACATCTTTATTGCTCTCATCACAGGAAATTCTAGGGTTTTAGGACATCTGTTCCAAAAAACAAGGAAAAAGACAAATAGTGACAGTGACTATATATATATATATATATATCTGTGTGTATACATATATACATCCATATATATATTTATTATATATCACAATATCATAGAAAGATTCTATTATTCTTGTGAACAACTGAAGAAAATAAACATAAGAAATATTAATGAAAACATGGAGAAATTAGAATACTTGTACACTGTTGGTAGGCATGTAAAATGATGCAGCTGCTGTAAAAATAGAATTGCCATATGATCCAGCAATCCCACTTCTGGGTACATGTCCAAAGGAGCTGAAATCAGGATCTCAAAGAGGTATCTGCACTCTCATATGCACTGCAGCTTTATTCACAACAGTCAAGACATGGAAACAACCCAAGTGTCCATCAACAGATGAATGAAGAAAGAAAATGTAATATATATGTACAATAGAATATTACTCACTCTTAAAAGAGAAGGAAAACCTACTATTTAAAACAATACGGATGAATCTGCTAAGTGAATCTGCTAAGGACATTATGCTAAGTGAAATAAGTCAGATATGGAAGAACACACACTGCATGATTCCACTTATATGAGGTATCTGAAATAGTCAAATTAATAGAAACAGAGAGTAGAATGGTGGTTACCAGGGGCTGAGATAAGGCGGAAACAGGGAGTTTGTTCCTGTTCAAAGAATATAAAGTTTCAGATATGCAAGATGAATAAATTCTAGGGATCTGCTGTAGGTCACTGTGCCTACAGTTAACATTACTATATTGTATACTTAAAAATTTATAAAGAGGGTAAATCTCATCTTGTGTTCTTACAACAGTTTCAAAAAAAAAATATGGAAACAAACAAAAGAGATTAGAGGGAAATAATTGACTTGCCATAAGTCACACAGCTAATTAAAGGACAATGCTGAAGCACAAACTCAGGTCTCCTGTTAATTTTTGTTGTTGTTTGCAATTAAACAAAAAAAAACAAAACTAAGCACCATTTAAGTGAGTTTTTTATTGTGTTTGTTGTTTTGTTCCAAATTCACACATAATTTGTAATAACTCCATCTTAATCGATTCTCCCAGAACCAGATATGGGGACAAGACTCAAAGTAGTAGTTTCTTAAAGAGAAAATTACAGAAAATAGCAGTATTGAGTAGCAATGCTGAGAAAGGGAAAAGCAGCAAGAAAATCAAAGGTGTATTACTAAGCTAGTTACCACTGCAGAAACCTGGAGTGGATTCTTTGGGGGACCCAGCAAAAAGCATGAAATACACACCTCAGAGTTACTCTACCAACTGGTAAAGAAGCTTGAATATATATCTACTAAATGCTCCTGATGAGGAGAGATTAGGTTGGGATGTTTATTATGTGGTATTTCCTGCCAGCCCTGCAAACAGGACAGGTTTCAGTGGCTGCAAATGGAAGTCAGGCCTGATATACTGATCTGATGGTGCAAAGGACATACGGGCAGGAATCTGCTATGAACTCCCAACTAAATTGTATCATTCCTTGTGAGCAGAATCCAGATCTTGCTCTTTATTTCTACCACCTCGCATGGGGCTAAGATTGAATAAATAGGCTATAATTCATTGGATTAGAAAAGCCAAGCATTCTGAACTCATCACTAGTTTAGCAGACAGTCTTATTTTACCAAAATAAGAAGAGTTTTGTTTATATTCTGTCACCAAATGCAAAGATTTTCCTTACAGCATCGATACCCAGATGCTGTTTTACAACCAGTGCTGGTCTAGAAATAAGTTTTTACCAATCTGTGGTAAAAAAAGAAAAAAAAATAATGATTTTATCATTTTTGTGAAATTTACAAAAGTGGACTAAAGAATGTAATTAGAAACTAAATCTGTCTTGTATTTTTGGTATTAAGATATCATTTTTCTTATGAAATTACACTGAGAGTAAATGATATTCTGTTTTTCCCTTTCAACGTCTATATGTTCCTTTTTATTCTACCTTTAGATCCCTGGGCAAATTTTTTCTAAGTGTGATCATACATTGTGTAAATCAATTTTTAATTAAAATCACATTACTTTATAATTTAAAAAAATCTAGAAACCACTGATACATAGGCTATTCCTTAATAAGATTTTGTGAACTCATATTATTACCGTATGAGTTATTTTCCAAACCTAAAATAGCTTTAAAATCATTGATGTGATCTCACAAGATAAATATGGTTATCAGCAGCTTTAAAAATAATATAAAATTTGTTTACTCATAAACAAAAAAGTGAGCATCTGTTTAGCTATTTTAAGATTACATATCAGTAAAAATTAATGTTGAGTTTATTTTGTGATTATCTTTACTTCTATAGTATGTAAATAAAATATTTCATTTTAAACATGATACATATGGATTTATTTTTTTTAAATATGAAGTTGATTTTATTACAAATTTCAGATATACACATTAGAAAATTGTTTTACTTGGACCCTTTACAAAAGTATTAATTTCACCAAATCTGGAATACTGGCAATGTAAAGTCTTAAACTAAGTTTAAAGCTAACAAATCAAAGGCACAGTATTAACACATTTAAAATAACTTGTGTTCACAGGACAACATTAAGAGGTGCTTTATAAATAAAGTGTTATTAACCTAGATCCAAAACTATCTAGCTATGACACAACCAGGAATGAAGCCCTTGATTAGTTCCAACCTATCAATTTTCAAGCCTAAGATGCTATTTCCTGTAAGAAGAAAACGTAATAGTCATAACTACTATAAAATCTAATTCCCAGACCCCAAGAATGAATGACTGATGAACAAAGTTTCTGGACTTGATTAAAAAGATATAGGAAACCAAAAAAGGTATGGAATTGATGACAAGTGTACTTGTAATGCAGCTTACACTACAGTAAATTATTTTTCATGGCTCTAAATTGGGTCATTCAAGTCTTTTACCCCCCAAAATTTTAAAGATTTGACAAGCGATAATATGCTATTTTTATATATAAACTGCTAATATCCAGTATTTGTCAAAAGGAGGCAACTGTTGTCTATCACAATCTAATACCCACTTTCCAATGGTGTCTGTAAATAGTAACAAATTCTGAACCATAAGTTATAGAAATTAGTCACAAGAGTGCAAAAAGTCCCTGGAGAGAAGTAGTCCACCTAACAATTACAAATATAAGGAAACACTTTACAAAGTTTCATTACTATGAAGATGATTTCCCCTTTGTTCAAACTTTGAACAAATGAAGAATTTTTCTTTACTGCAGGAAACAAACTGTAAGTAACAGTGCATTTTTAGGTGTAAGTATTTATGTCTGGTTCCAGTATGGTCAGGTTAATACATATATATTTCAGAAACACAGAAGTTCACATTAGTGGAAAAATCCAAGTTTCTCACATAACCATTCTTCAGTTAGGTCTTCGGTATTTATTTCAAATACCTTGGTTAGTTCAGCTGTTTGGACTAGCTTATTCTTACTCCCAGCATACATCATCTGTTGTTCAGGCTTACACCCAACAGGACTGGAGAAAATAAAGCACAGAGGATATGAAACTCTTCCATCATCATGTTGGTATTTATAACTATACACAATGAAGCGAGGTTGTCGTTCAGGCAGTTCATCTTTAAGTTCATCTGGTGAAATGCCCTCAAGCTCTTCATCCAGTACCACCAGGCGTTTATCCTTATCAATTTTCATTATAATGGCAGCATTGTTCATTTCTTTGTGAAAACAAAACTTTCTCAGCTTTTCCACTAAATCTTCAGCGACATTACAAACCACAAAAGACTCACTCATTTTCCTTCCTGCCATCAGTGGCTCCTCGCCTTCCCTCGGGCCCCTTTAAAGAAGGGCACAGCGGCCGCCTCCCTTCCTGCCCCTGCGCCTGGTAGAGTGGCCTGGATTTATTTTTTTTTAAAGATTTTATTTATTTGAGAGAGAGAGACACAGCGAGAGAGGGAACACAAGCAGAGGGAGTGAGAGAAGGAGAAGCAGGCTTCCCACCGGGCAGGGAGCCCGATGCGGGGCTCAATCCCAGGACCCTGGGATCATGACCTGAGCCCAAGGCAGATACTTAACGACTGAGCCACCCAGGTGCCCCGATACATATGGATTTATTGAGCAGATGATTTACAAAGTAAAATATACATTCCTTTGAGGAAAATAATCATAGTCACACAGACTTATTTAAAACCCTTGTGTAGGAGCACCTGGATGGCTCAGTCAGTTAAGCATCCGACTCTTGATTTCAGCTCAGGTCTTGATCTCAAGGTTGTGAGTTCAACCTCCGTGCTGGGCTCCATGCTGGTCATGGAGCATAATTTAAAAACAAAAAACAAAAACCCTGGTGTATACAAGATTAAAATGGTCATATTTTCGGGGCGCCTGGGTGGCTCAGTTGGTTAAGCGACTGCCTTCGGCTCAGGTCATGATCCAGGAGTCCCGGGATCGAGTCCCGGGATCGAGTCCCGCATCGGGCTCCCTGCTCGGCAGGGAGTCTGCTTCTCCCTCTGACCCTTCCTCCTCTCATGTGCTCTCTGTCCATTCTCACTCTCTCAAATAAATAAATAAAATCTTTAAAAAAAAATGGTCATATTTTCTAAGTATAAGAAGATATTCAACAACCATGAATATGTTTCTGAGATCACATCCTCCGTGACTCTTTAAAACAATAACCCTTTGTAGCTGTAAGTGTAGTTTTGTCCACTTTTATTGATCTTCCTGTATGTAAATTCAAGTTCCTATCTAGTTCCTTTTTATGAATGGAATGTTGAGTATGATGCAAATAATTTGGTTGAAAGATTTGGAAAAAATGCTTAACAACAATCCATGACATTTGGGAATCAGGCAGGGCTCTCTGTAAGTAACTGATGGAGCCACGGCCACCTGGAAACATAGGTAGATCACACTATGAGACTTTAGCCAAACACATGCCTGCAGAAACAGGTTAAAGTGAGCACACATACACAAACTTTGAAGGACTCAGAAAGTCACCGCAGAGCAATTTGCAGATTAGGAATAGGTCTCAAAAGGCTCTTCCAACTTTGCGTTTTTAAAGGGACATATTCAAAATCTCCTTTCCATTCATGGGTAATATTCTTTTTTTTTAATTTTATTTATTTATTTGAGAGAGAGAGAGAATGAGAGATACAGAGCATGAGAGGGAAGAGGGTCAGAGGGAGAAGCAGACTCTCTGCCAAGCAGGGAGCCCGATGTGGGACTCAATCCCGGGACTCCAGGATCATGACCTGAACCGAAGGCAGTGCTTAACCATCTGAGCCACCCAGGCGCCCCTCATGGGTAATATTCTTGATTCAGTACTCAGCATACATCCCAGGTTTTCTTGTCTTTCAGCAGCTCTGTTTTAGAACTTGCTGGATATGCCTTTATTCAATTTCATCTATGTCTCTATAAGTCAACTCACCCATGAAGCAGTGAGCAGAGACTCTTTATCAGGCAGAGTATTAAGAGCATATCATCATGTGGCATCACCTCTGTTTATATTTCTCAGATATATGGACTCTTTTTTCTCATAGCTAGTATTTCCTATGTGCCCAGTGGAATATTTTGGAGGCTGAGAAGGTCACTAAACTTTGTCTCTAAGCCACTTCCACATAATGATGTAAGCTTATAAATCTGTGTATGGCCTTGTTTGTGTGTGGGGGTGTAGAGATCACTATTGCTATTAATCCCATACTAATTATCAGAGTCATCTAAAAGGCTTCATTATCTTCCTAATATATAATTTAGCACCAAAGATTAAGAACTTAAAGCCCATTTAGTTTTGAAATAGTGGATTTTTAAACCCACAAAAGGTACTTGAATGAATAGATATTTCTTATGAATATTCTAATAAGAAATTATGCTAATAGCAATTGCTAAAGCTAAAAATGGTTGAGAAGGAGACTAATTACTTATACTATGCCATGAGCAACCTGGGACAAAAATAGATGATTCTTCAATCTTTAATGCTCAAATATTTTATTGATATATTCTTGATGAGAAAGGAAACAAAGATTAACCTACAGAGTTTAGAAAAATATTTCAAGAAGTAAAAAATTTTTCAGTACGTGCATAAATACTATTGTTTTTCTTTAATGAGTATTATACAACCTATGAGATGCTTTTATAAAAAATAATGACTTGGTTTTAAGCCACTAACATTAAGAAGAAACAAAGGACTTACCCCACCAGATACCAAGACTTATTATAAAGCTAAAGTAATATGTATGGTATTGTTGCAAAGATAGATAAACCAATAGAACAAAAAAGAGAGTCCAGAAATAGACTCACACACGTATGGATTCTTGATGACAAAGACAATATTTAATTGAAAAAGCAATGGCAAAAAATGACCTTTTCAAAATATGGTATTTGGTCAATTATATATCCACATGCAAAAGAAAAAAATAAAATTGACCCTTCTTTCAAACATGCTCAAAGATTAATTCCAGATAGACTGTCATTCTAAATATAGTATATAAACATTAAATCTTTCAGGAGGTAGCATAAAAGAATATTCTTATGAACTTGGAGTAGGTAATAATCTCTTTCTTCATTATCACTACCCATATTAGAAAAGATTAACAATCAGATTACATTGTCAGAACTTCTGTTTATCTAAAAACACCGTTACAAAAGAGAAAATGCAAAACATAGAGTGGCAGAAATCATTAACAATACATATAAATAACAAAGAGCTTGTATATTATAAATTAGAAAAAATAAATATGTCAATAAGGCAAATAATCCAATAAAATGAGTAGAAGACTTGAACAGGCATTTCATAAAAGAAGATATTCAGATGGTCAATCATATAAAAATGTGACTAACATCACTACCCATGAGGGATATGCAAATTAAAATCACAGTTATATACCATTATAGCAAAATGGCTAAAATTTAAAACTGCAATAACATCCAAGTGTTGGAACAGCTGAAACCAGAACTGTGATACAATGCTTGTGAGTGGAGGAGGAAGAAGGTGAATTCTTGAAACCACTATATAGAATTTTTTGGTAATATTGGCTACAATTTAACAAATACAAATCCTAAGGACCAAAGATTCTAATCCAAATTAAATATCCCAAATTTTGTGTGTGTATGCATGTGTAGCCAAAGCTACCAAAAAAATGTTCATAGCATCACTACTAGCAGTCAGAAACTAGAAATAACCCAAATATAGTTCAATTGAAAAATAAATAATAGCTATTTTGTACAATGAAATACAATAAAACAATAAAAACACATGAAGTGCTACATGGAATGACATGGATTCATTTAAAAATAAAGTTAAATTTTTTTTTTAACTCAAGCCTTTGACTTTTGACTCCAGCAAAAATACAGCAACAGGAGTAGTATTTACCCTTCAACCTGAAGCAAGAAACAAAAACAAAAACAAAAATGATTAAACAAGTTAAACAACAATTTTCAAAGCATTGCAATGAAGGACAATGATCTCTGAAAGTCAGAAAGCAAATGAAGAGGGCCCTGCAAATGCCCCCAGCTTACTGACTAAAACAGGCTTCTAAGAAAAGCAGATGCAGCAGATCCCCTGAGTTGAAGAGACAAAGCTGAGAGTATAGGGGAAGTAAGATGGCTAGAATTTGCATCCAGAATACCAGAGAAGAGAGAACATAGAGAAACAGAACCACAGAGATCTGCAGAGTAGCTCCTACTAGAGTATGCAACAAAGTATGGACTGGTGCAAGTTCATAAGGAAATTATCCAAGGCCAGGAAAAGAACTACCTCTAAAGATTAGATTACACAGTGTCTGGAGGTCACAAAGGGCCAGGGATAGTGCCTGGTCCAACGAATCAGAAGAGAAAATCTCATAATTCATTAAATATTACAGAATATTCAAAAAGGTCTTGCCCCAGTAGTGGAGAATAATTATCTCTACAGCAAATAGTATTTTGATCCTGCCTAACACATCTTAAAAGTAAAATCCAAAAGATCAAACTGTTTCCAAGTAACTTAACTATCCCAGAATAAATCTCAAGAAAATTTATACTGTAATAATAGTAGTAAGCCAGGTAAAATGTAGGAAGTCTGGCATTCAATCAAAGATTACGAGCCATACAAAGAAGCATTAGTGCAACTCATTATAGGGAGAAGAATCAGTCAACTGAAACCATTCAGAACTGATCCAGATGTTAGAGTTAGCAGACAAAGACATTAGAATAGTCATTGTATTCTATATATTCAAACAGGTAAGCACAGACATGGAAGACAAAGAATAGACCCAAATTGAACTTCAGTATATGAAAGCTGCAATGTCTGAGATGAAAAATACACTGGCCAGGACAGGATTAAGAAAAGATTAGATGGGAGAATAAAGTATTGGGGAACTTGAGGACATAGCAACAGAAACTATCCAAAATGAAACACAGAGATAAATTAATGATAAAAGAAAGAGGGGAACAAGGTGGGGAGATGGACAAAATGGGTGAAGGGAAGTGGGAGATACAGGCTTCCAATTAAGGAATGAATAAGTCATGGGAATAAAAGGCACAGCATAGTATTGTAATAATATTGTATGGAGACAGATGGTAGCTACAGTTGTAGTAAGAGTAGTATAATGTATAGATTTGTCAAATCACTATGTTGTACCCTTGAAACTAATGTAACATTGTGTGTCAACTATACTTCAATTTAAAAAAGAAAGAAGGGTCACCTGGGTGGCTCAGTCAGTTAAGTGTCTGCCTTTAGCTCAGGTCATGATCCTAGGGTCCTGGGATTGAGCCCCGCATCGGGCTTCTTGCTCAGCAGAGAGCCTGCTTTTCCCTCTCCCTCTGC